TCCCAGTGTCGAACACGACCCAGACCTGAGAGCGGGGTTGTGCGCCAAAGCGGCCCTTTGATCGCTGCCAGGGAGCACTTCGGGGGGTGGACGGGGGAGCGGGAAATCAATGTGAACAGCTGCTGCCTAGAACTCATAACTGCAATGACTGCGCAGACGCCACCCTGCACCACCAACACATCCTCCTCCTTCTTCTCCACTTCCTCGCTCGCGACAACGACTACTCTCTTCTTGCGCAAGAGCAGCGGACGTGTAAAGTTTCTCCCCCACTGCTCCTTCATACTATCGTCGCACACCTGCTTATCTTCAACACTCTCCTCATGATCCTCCCCGACTTCCTCCTCCCCCTCGTCCTCCTCCCCCTCCATGTCTTACCCTCGACGTATTATCAGCATTGCAGGCCTGTGCCAACTGTCGGCGAGTAGCTTCGCGAAGTATGAGCGTGTGGAAAAGAAGAAGCAACGCCACACGCTAAGAGGGTGCGAATCATAAAACCGAGACCGGTCCTAGACTTTCCTGAACTCCTCCTGCCCTTGGCCACTCCCACTCCTCGTCATGCTTACCTTTCCCACCACCGCCCACATCGTGCCTGCGACTGGTCCTCAACGTGGCAGTTCTTGCGTTTATCCTCGACCTCAGCCCCTTGGTCGTTCGAAGGGACGCCCGCTGGCCAACAACTTAGTGGAAGCTCCAAGCGGAGATGGCGGACTCACTACTGGTTTCTACCTTTAGCCACTGCAACACTTTGCTTGAAGTGACGGGTGATGTCATCGATTGATTCCTGCACGGGAAGCGTGCGCCAAATACTTAGCGTTTTAGTCACGCGTGCATGCGCTTGGCCAGGCTGATCAACCGTCGATTCTGTGGTCCCAAAATCGAACGGATATCATCCTGCGGGCGGGCTCTGCTGCACCGGGGCCCCCGAAGCCGGAGATAGAACACTATGGAGGGGCCAGGAACTCTCGACCGCATCTTCCTAAGTAGAATGCAGCGTTCGCGGTGCGATGGAGGAGCGCCGTTTTCGAAACAAATCAACCACAAGCCCAAACAGTCGGCCGTCGTACTTTCCGCACGCCGACCAGAAAGGTCTGAGACCCCGCGTGAAGCACGGCCCGGAGAGCTAGAAGCCCAATGCTGGGCGCACCCGGCGTGACCCGCAGGACCAGGGCCTTGCGGCAGGAAAGTGCGGCGCAGCGCACGCCGTGGAGGGCCCTGGAGTGCCAGACAGATCCCAGCCTCGCGCGTTGCCGACTCCGCTGCACAACCTCATGAGAGTGAAGGGGCCCTGGGACACACAAATAAATACACACAAATAGCAGAATTCCCCATGTTTTCCCATATGTTCTGGGTTTTTGTCTTCCCCCCCACTTCCCATATTTTCCCATTTTTTCGAGGGGATCGACGATTCATTGTGTCTGTGTTTTTTCACCCTCCTGAGAGAGAAGCGGGGGCAGCCTCTGGGCGTGGCCGCGGCTCTGCTCGACGCCCCTTCGCCGAAGCCGGCCGATGCTACTCGATGTCACTCCTGGCCTCGGCCCAGGCAAACGACTGGGCGAGGAGGAGGCGAAGAGAAGAGGCCGAGGGCCGTTCCCTCCTGCCTCCGGCGCGCGTGCTCGAATCAATTAATCGTGGGAATCCTGGGAATCGACGATGAATTGTGTCTGTGTGTTGTTTCCCTCCTGACAGAGCAGGAACAAGAGCGGACAGTTTGAGCTCTCGGCCCCAAGGTGACCGCCGGGCGAGGCCGCCAGCAGGCCCCCAGGAGCGAGGCCCAGACGAGGCCCTAACGGGAGCAGCAACGCCCAGGGGACCCCCCAAGAGGCCCCCGAGATGCCACTGGGCACCCCCGAGAACCGTCCCCTGGGAGGCTTCGGAGAGGCTGCCCAGGAGTTCCCCACAGGCATCCCAGCCTCTGACGCACAGCCCAGGCCATTATAGAAAGCAACCCTCTCGCGGTTCTGGCAAATCAGTTCTGCACAATTTACCGGAATTCATTCCGTCGCACGGAAATCCAATTACAGACAGCGCCCGAAATACATCATGCGGAGGCCACACCCTTCCAGCACAATGTCCTGATCCTGCGTCTTTTCCTTCTCCTCGCCGCTTCGCCGTCGTCGCCGTGATCGTCATCTTCGTCGTCATGATCGATCGCCATCGGCATAAACATCATCGCCATTATCGCTATCACCATAGTCGCCTTCGCCGTCGTCACCATTACACCCACGCACCTGTTTCGTCTCTTCAGCCTGCAACGTCCTTATGCCTCGTCGGGTTGCCTGATTGTGGGGCCGGAGGCGAGCGCTAGCATCTCGAATAGATCAAGGACGACTGGCCCTCCGTCTCTGCGCAGCCAGCCGGGGATACTACCGTCCCCACGCCGATGGGCCCTGCGGTCACGAAGCGGGGTGGTAGCCGTAGCGGAGGCAAGATGCGACGGGAGGTCGGGAGAAGATGGTGACAAGAGGAGAAGGACGACGAGAAGAAGGTTGGTTGGTCGGTAGGGCCCTTTTGGATCGCGTGTGAGGCCGCGGGCGCGGCCTCTTTAGCGAAGCTGCCGGGCATCAGAGTACCCCTGGATACCCTGGCCTGTCCCAGCCCCAACCTTCATAGGCAGACCAGCGAGAGGAGGGAGGGCTCTGGAGAGCCCCCACGACGAACAGCCACGCAGCCTAAGAGGCCCAGAAGAGGCGCCACAATAAACTCCAACAAGCCCTGACTTGTCTCGCCCCTGAATTTCGCCCCTTGTCAGGAGTGGACCACCAAAGCAAACATACAGCGCGATAAAGAGATCCCCCAAACAAAAAACGTAACGCCCGAACAGCCCTCCAGAATGCCGAACTGCCGCCGAGGTATCACACGTTTCGGTGTCCTGTTCTGTTCGTTTCGTGCCTTCTCGTGCTTCCGACGCTCCAGAACGGCCCAGCGTTTCCCCACGCTGGCTCTGGACGGCCGAATTTGTCGCCGAGGGGACCGCCAGGGTGTCCCTCGTTACGGCTTTTTGTGCGCCCACCACCCGTCGCCACCGACGAAGAACCCGTAGCTTCCCAGGACCCCCCAAGTAAGCGCGCCTCCTATCCCTCCCCCTTCCTCATGACCTCTGTCATGTTCATCGTCGGGAAAGGCGGCATCATCAATATCATCCTCCGTTTCGTCAGCACCATCACCGTCGTCATCTACGACGCCCCGTATACGCATTGTACCGGTGTCAAAAATATGTCCAAACGATGTCCCTCCCTTCTTGTCCACCTTGTCATCGGTTTCGCTTCCGTCTTGCTTGCTGTACTCCGAAGGTCCAGCAAGGACCACCGAGCACCATTTGGCTCGCCCACGACCACCTCCAACCATGTCGTGCAAGGTTGAACACAAGCATCTGAAACTTCCAACCTCGCGCCAGCAATTTCCATCGGCTCATCAATTCGCCTGAAGGTCGGCAGAATGGCGTAAACCTGATGAATAACCATGGTGGTCGGCATTAACGCAGGTTGAGCCACCGTGCGTTAGGTCCACTAGCTGGAACAAACACGCCAAAAGACCAAGTGCGCAAGCTGCGCCGAATGAGACGCACTTGGCGCAACACGTGTAACAGGCGCGCCCCATATGCGGCAACTGCGACAAGTACGCCTGGCGCGTTAGGTCCGTTAGACGCGCGAGCTGCGCCACATGCATCACGTGCACCAGCCGCGTCAGGTGCGCCAGCTGCGGTAGTCCCCAGGCGCACCAGGACGCCAGGCTCACCATGTGATTAGGCGCACGAGCTGCGACATCTGCGCCGACTGCGCCCCGAACGCTCGCCCGCCACCGCGCCGCAAGGCACGGAACGAATGTCATCAGACCCCATCGGGCCCTCTGTATTGATTAGACGACCGAAGAAGGCCAATGCCACGGATTTATTGGGGATCGTCGCGCAATTCCCGGGGTGTGTCGCGTGGCTTTCCCGAAGCCGGAGGCCCCCAAACAGCCCCAAATGGTCCTAAGAGAGCCATGCGAAGGTCCGAGATGGATGGCCCAGTCGGCACAAGAGGACTCCAAGTGGATTCCAACGTGGGCCTGTTCGTATAAATTTGGTCGCGAAACAAACGTTGGAACACAGATTCTGCCCATCTGTGCACATGCGGCGTGGCAAAGCGGTGCGGCATCAACGCGACGCCGAGGAGCGTCGTGGGCTCGAGCCTTTGGCCTGGAAGCACGCCGCGCCCGACTAACCAGATCATGCAATCCTGCAAGGGACCACTGCGTTCTGCGGGGGTGCACGGACACGCGGAACGCTGATCAGCTAAGTGTTAGCTGGCGCCCTCCTTATCCTCATGCCCCATCCCCCGCCTCCTCCCAAGATCCCTTCAATTCGGCCCCACCCTCCTCACGCCCCCACGACTACCCCCACTCCTCACCATGCCCCTCATCCACATTATCAACCCCCCATATGCCAGTTCACGTCGTTCGTCGTCCTCCTCCTCCGCCAAATGCGCCCCCCCATCGTCCACATGCTTGCCCCCCTCCTATCATCTACGCCCTAGTGCTAATCATCCCCCCTCATTCTGCCCCACCCCGCCACCCTCGCCCCCGCGATGCTGACGCGGATGATGCAAATCCTCCTGGGCTCATTTCCCCCGACCTCTTCGCGACCCCTTCTATCGAATCCCTTTCCCTCCCATAGCCCACCATCCCCAACCCCCCGCGCCCCTACACTCCCAGACCACGGCCCCCTCCTGGACCAGCCGGGAAATCCGCGGAAACTCCCACCCAATGACCATTCCAGCGAGCGGCGCGCAACATATGCACAATTGGACACACGAATTGTGTATTTCGACCGCGTACGACGCCCCCCTGGACCAGCCGAAAGAGAAACGTGAAAGTTCCCGCCCAGTCAACACCACCCGCGAGGGGCACACTCCAAATACACAGATGGGAACAAGATCTGTGTACACAGATCACACCACGATCTGTGTAAACAGTGGACCCACACACGAAACTACACAGTTGAAGACACCACCTGTGTACACAGATCACACCTTGATCTGTGTATTTCGAAAAGGTAATCGCTCGCCACCCCGAGGGTACCCCGACGTTGCCAACCCAGATTCGACGTCGACGTGCCCAGCTAGGAGGGAATGCGACTACACACTTCCCCAGCCCAGGGCGCCCACGAAGAAGCTGCACATGCGCGCTTCCCTGGCCCAGGGCGGCCACGGTGAAATGCGGCACCCAAATGGCCCCCAACGGCCGACAGACGCCCCAAAAGGGCCCCGAAGGACCACAAATACGGCCGCACAGCAGTCCGAGCACACGAGGGGTGTCACATGCCACAGACCTCTTAACACTCAAGCTCCACGCATCGCCGCACAGACCGCTGCGCTGGCAAAAGGGGGCGGACCTTGCTGCAGGCACCTATACATTTACATGTTGGCGATGCGGCTGTGCTTGGCGGCCGTGCCGCCCGCGTTTGGAGTGCGCCCAGAACGCTTGCATGTGCAATCCCCTTTTACTGGTTGTGCCGCTGTGCTCGGATATCGAAGGGGCGGTATACCGCTGATACGGGCACGCTGCACCAGGGACTTCACCTCCCTTCTTCGAACAAGGGGGGAATACGAGGTAGGACGACGGACGGTGGAGCAGGGAGGCAAAGAGGAATGAGGAATAATGGGGGAGGTGGAAAAGGGGCGTTCTCCCGCCCGTGCCGCGGACGCTATCGACACCAGGGAAAAAAAGGAGGGGGACGGGGCATGGGCGAGGACGACGACGGGAATCAAACTGTCCCCGGTCCGCATATAGCCGCATGCTTGCGATTCGGGTGCGCGCGCTTTCTTCGAGGCAATTCAAACCCGACTTGTACTGAATTCGATGATTCCTCTCCAAAGTGTGTGAACACTCTGTCCTCTGTACCCCCTCCTATGCAACTGCCTCAGAACAGAGGGGCAGTGGATTCCAAGGCTCCAAGACGCCCAGAGCTGATCTCAAGACTGCCAAAGAGGCCACCGAGGCGCCCGATGCTGGCTCCAAGACCACCCCAACGGAGGGCACCGAGAAGCTAAAATCATTGGTTTTCGAAAAGGTGTTTGAGTGATGCTTGTATCATCGTCGCCTTGGGCCTCCCAACGACCCAAGACGGCCCCAAAGGCTTCGAATATTGCTCCAAGACGGTTGAAAAAGCCTCTCCCCAATGGGCTCCAATACAGCTCACGAGGGCCCAGATGGCCATGAAGACTCCAATGCATCCCAGGAATGCCCCGATAGAGCACTGGGCGGGGCGCAAGAGGTTGTGCCTCGAAGGCCGCGTGAACCACCCCCTCTAAAATTTCCCCACACGCGCCCAAGATGACCTGCAGAGGCCGCCAGGAGACCCGAAGAGACCACCACGTCGCCCCCCAAACGCCCCCAGGGGCCCCAACATGGCGCCGACGAAGCTCTGAGAGGCATTCAAAAGGCCCCCACAAGTCATGCATGCCAGGATACTCCGACAGGCATCCGAGATGCCTCTGACCCACGATCCAGCCACGGCCGTGGGGGCCTCGTCTCTTAGGTGGTCGCTCCTTGAAAACTTCAGGTCGTACACAGGGGAATCCATATACTACATAAATCCTCCGCGAAGGGGGCCAAATACAACACGGCACATATCCGCCACCGTGCCGTTGGCACTGAGTGGAGTGTATTCAAGTCCCGTACAGTCCACTCTGTTTAACGATACATTACTGATTCAAGCGCTCCGGAGCCCAAGAGACGGGGCCTTGGGCAATTCTCCCCCCCTGGTTTCTTATCAAGGACAACCACGTCGAGCCTACGAAGATGTTGCCCGTCGCTCCCTGGACCCGCGGGCCTACGTACTGACTCTCTAAGCTGCTCAAGCCCGTCGCCGCGAACGGAACCTTGTCCGCGGGCTGCAGCGCATGGTACCGCCTCAAGAACGACCTCAGGCGGGGCGGAGGGCACTCGTTGGCGCGCCAGCCCACCTCTGGAACAAAAACCAGAGATGGCACCATCTGTAACGCCTGAGCCGTTCCTCCGTCTCTTCCCTCCTTGCCCAGCGAGCCGGCCATCTCAAGCTGCACTATTCCCTCCGAACGAAGCGTCGCTGGCAAGCGGCCGTGCGTGTGCTGCGCCCGCCGCCCCTGCTGGAGAGGACCCCGCTGGTGCGCTCCACGAGAGGACCCCGCTGGTGCGCTGCACCTCGGTGGCACACTCCCCGTCCAGCGCTAGCCCAGCGGGCAGACGTCCAGAGCAAGAAGCTGCGTGGGAAAAAAACGTGGCTGGTGGGAGCGCTGGCCACCTGATTTTCTGCACGCAGGAGCGGCCCTCGGCAAGAGTGACCTTTCCTGTGCGGCTGGGCGATGGTTGCATGTGGTGCGACAGTAGCGGCTTGCGATCTCTGGCTCGCCTCCAATGCCCGCCCAGACCCCCACGCTTCTCGAAGGCTTCGCACCGAGAGTCACGATGGCGAAGGGGCACTTGGACGAGCAGCCGACGTTCGCAGCCGAGAGCTGACATGGAGAATTCGGGAAGATTTAAGGAAATCAGCTAGATGACTCACCAGCGTGGCCTCCAGAAACTTGGAGACACTCGCCCTTCTCTGAGTGTAGGACTGAGGTGCTTACCGAGGTCGTTCGATAATGCGGGGGATCGGCGTCAGCTCAGTAGCATCAAGCGCCTCAATGGACTGATGTTCGCCTGCCACCCCCACCCACTCCACCACGTACTCGCACACCCACCCTCCCACCCATCCATGCATTGTGGGAGGAAAGGCCAGAGAAACGCCTACGCGATAAAGGTCAGCAGAGGCAAACGGGGGACACCCAGCATGGAGGACAATGGAAGAGCGAGAAAGTGAAAGCACCCATAAGGACACTAACAACCAAGCCAAATCACACTATCAAGAGGATAAAGATGGCTCCAAGTGGCCACGTAGCCTCCCAAAGACGTCTCCGAGAGGCTAAAATCATTGAAACACCTCAGGGAACGTGCATGCCGTCTCGCCCGTTCGCTTCCGATCAGCGTCTGCGACCTCAAGATACCTCCCGGATGGCCCACGAGCGCCCAGCAAAGATGGCCATGAGGGTCTCCAGTACGGCCCCAAGAGCGCCCTCAAAGCGTCCCTGGATAGCCCCCAAATGCCACATCCTGGCTCCAGAGGGGGCCTGGGTTAATCCGCACCGCCCCTTCGCTCGACGTCAACATACGTGAAACACATCTTCTGCTTCAAATACGTTGGGCATCATCGGATGCGTTTGTGCCGAGATGGCTCCAAGATGGTCTCCCACATGCCACAAAGTCACCCCAACGCGCGTCCCAAAGAGACCCCCAAGAAACACGGAAAATGTGTGTTCATGTGTTGTTGGCTTCTCGCCTTTTCGATTGCCATGGCCATCTGAGGTGCCAAGGTGGCTTCACGATGGCACGGTAGAGCCCCAAGCGGGGTCCAGGAGGGCTCCAAGATGGCCAGGGGAGCGCCCAAGAGCGCCCGAAGAGGGCTCCAAGAGCCGATCGTGGGGGTTTTGACAGGGAGGCCGAATGAATGATCCGCCATTCTTTGATCGATGCCGACCTCGGCCCCCAGGATGGCCCTAAGCGAGAACCATAAGAGGGCCCCCAAGGCCTCCAATCTTGCCCCAAGACAGCCCCAAAGTGGCCGCAGGAAGTTGCCAAGAACACCAAAATGGGTTCGGATAGGGGGCCGCATGCGAACCCTACCCCTACCCCCCACGATTTCTGGGGGGAAGGTGGGGCTCACTTCGTTCGGGAGCTCCCGAACGAAGTGAGCCCCACCCTCCCCTCTCAGAAGTCGTGGGGGGTGGGGGGTAGGGTTCGCGTGTGGCCCCCCTGTCGGAACGACACGTCTTGGCATTCCCCCCCCCGCAGTCGCAGCATCCAGTGCAACTTGCGCGGCCCCCTGTTGGCCGCGGCGGGCCTCGCGCCTCTCTCGCCCAGCAGACTCCCGAGTCGGGGTTGAAGCGGGCGGCCAGCTCGAACAGGGCAGCCCGCTCCAAGAAACCGCCCCATCACGTCGGGCAGACCTTTCGCTCGCCGAAGCACGTGCGCGGCCACGCTGTCGCCCACCTCGGCCGCGTCAGGGCCCAGCAGGAACAAAACAATCATGCAGTGGTCTATCCACGCATCATGTGGCCGCATGCCAATCGGGCAGGCACTGAAAATAATCGCTCAAGGAACTGCGTGAAACTGGCATCGCGCGGAACCGATGTTGAGATGCATCTTCTTTAAATGCCGTCTCACCTGCGCCTGGTCAACCAATTATTATAGAAGATCTCGGATTTTTCTATGCTCAGCAGATGCTCGATCTCAAACAGCCCCACCTTCAGCGCGTCTTGGGCCCCTAGATGCCAGACCATGCCAAGGTCCTGCCGGGTCGCACTACTCTCGGCCGCCTCTATGTCGCTGTACAACTTGGGCGCTCCGAGGAATCAAACCGCGAGACTGCAAACACAACCCGTGCTGCGAGCCCTTCAGCATGGCATCGCACTCGCTCTCGCAGCCCGACGCAACCGCAGTGATCTGGAAGACCGAGACGCACTGGATGAAATAACCACCTAGCATGAGCATCATGCCGATCCTCGACTTCCTGGCAATCTCGTCGCCTGCCCAATTCTGCACCCGCATGCATGCATAACCTGTGGACTGTAACTCGATACGAACGCTGCAAGCGCACGCTTTTGAGATATCGACCCAATGTCTTCAGATCGGTCACGTTTGCTTATCCTGGGCTCTTCGCGGCCCGCCTCAAGCGTCGAGGTAACGCCGCTTAGGTCTGGTCGGCCTTGACTGCGGCATGCCGCTAGAATCGCCATCGGTCTGCGCATGGCTACCTCAGCGCCATTGACTTCAACGCCTCCACCATCTCGCGTGTGCTCCTCTTGACCGACGCAATCTGCATTGCCGGTCGCGGATTGCCATGTCCACATGCGACAATACTCTGCGCGCCCAAGGAAGCCGACGTCAGCCGGGCCGCCGCCTCGAAGTCGCATTCGGCCACCCGGCGTCGTCCGCAGACATGATCGCGCCGAAGTCACCCCCGTATACCCCCCCTGAGATGTCGCGTTTCGGATGCCGCAAGATGGTCGGACTCGACCGGCTCTGCCCCGAATGCGTTGGTCCAGCAGGTCGGCGCAATCCTTCCGCCGTGCCTGAGCAGCGTCGACTGCGCTGCGCATGGCGCGAGACAGGAGGCCCGCAATTGGTCCAGCTTCACCCTCGTGCTCCTCGGGCGTCAACCCCACCCGCATGCGCCCGGTTGCCTTCGGGGATCTCCTGACCCGGGTCAATCCAGACCCGGGTCAGTCAGGCCTGCAAAATCCTGCAAACTCCTGCAAAATCCTGCGCCCAAACCCGGGTCAATGCGAAGGATCCTGCAGGATCCTGCAGGAACCTGCACCCAAACCCGGGTCAATGCGACCCTGGCGCTGCAGGATCCTGCAAGATCCGGCGCTCTGGCTGACCCCCGTTTGCATTGACCCCCGTCTCGAGGCTCCCGGTGCCTTGACGTTGAAATGCGGCCGGCTCGCGCCGTAGAAGTTGCACACCACCTCCTGGCATTCCGCGCAGCAGAGGAGCTGTCCCCCCGCGCGCATCGCGGCGAGGCCGGCCAGCGCCCCGCGGCGCCCTCGAGGCGGCGCGCCCCGAAGACAAGGCCCCGCCCTCGACGCTTCGGCGCCAGGCGCCCGCCCAGACACCCGCCAATGCCGCTTCCGAGGGGTCGGCGAGGTCGCGGGCCCCGGCGGCGACTCCGCCCGCGCGCAGTCTGCGCGCTGGGTAGCTCCTGGACGCGCTCCCCCGTTCATTGCGTGACCGATCACGGGTGTTCGTGAAGAGTCGTCGCTCCTCGCTGCGCTCCTGAGAGTATAGGGCTCCAGATGGGTCTCGCTCTCTTACGCCCCCTCGCCGCGACGTCCTCGCCCCGCCTGAAATTGCCCACGGTTCGGGATGAAGAAAACGCCATGCGTGGGGCAGGGGCGGCTGACAGCAGCGGATCCAGCTCGCCCACCGACCCCGCGCGCTCCCTGCCGTGCATCGCGTCTCGTAGGCCCCGGCCCGCGGCGAGGCCCGCTGCGAGCCCGGCAGCCAGGCCGAGCCCGGGCGCCTTCTCCATCGCGCCGCGTCTTCGCACTCTCCTCCCAGGGCTCCTTCTGGACTCGGCGCTGCCGCGGCAGCTCGGCGAGCTCGGCGCAGCGCTCGGCCCTCGCGGTCTGCTGGCCCCTGTCCAAGCGCGCGCAGGCCGCGGCGCGCGCCGACGGACGAGCACCCACCGCCGTGGCGGCGCGGGCGCCGCGCCCGCTGCGCGACCGCTGGACGCAGGGCTGCGCCGCCCGCGGCTGGCTGTGAGTCTCGCTCGCAACTCTGGGAGGCCTGGAAATTGGCACCAACACCAAGACAGAGGGTTGCCTCCACAGGGGGAAGATGGTCCCAGATGTTCGGTGCTGGTGGCAATAGCTCGGCCACCTTGGAAGCCAGAATGTTACCACCATCACCGAGATCGGGATCTTCTTCCCTCGGTGGAGGCACACCGCCGAAATTGGTGTTGGTGTCAATCTCTAGGCCTGCGAAACTCGCCCGCGGGGCGCAACCTCCCCAGCGCAGCCCGCGGGCCCGCGTGCTGTTTATAGCTGGGGCGCGGGGCGATTTATATATTCCAGTGGAAAAATGCTTTCTCGATGTACCGATGAATCATCACGACGGCCCCGGGCGCCCCCTCTGGGCCCCCGAGGCGCTGTCGAAGATGCTGAAACCTTGAACTCGGGATTCCTGGAGCAACACTTCGGGCCGCGCGCAATCGGCACCGTGGCCGTCGAGGCCTCGCGCTGGCGGAGGGCGCAAAAAAAGAACAGCCACCCCATCGGTCGCCAGGGTGCACGACATCAAGAAGACGGGATCGTTTTATCCCCGTCTGCGGGGTCCGGCGCCGCAGCGGCGATCTCCTGGCTGATAGAAAAAGCTCGCGCAGGCGCATTCCTCGGCGAAACTTCCCCAACCCGCGCGAGAAGCAGCTACCGGGAAGACCCGGGGAGGCGACGCGCGTTTCCAATCGCGCACCAGAGGTGCCGAACACGCGGCGCGGGGCCCACTGCAAACGACGGGCCCGCTACTGCATCATTCACGCGCACGCGCCCCCGCGCTGCTTGTAGCCTGGAGGGGGGGCGGGGCAATGTTGTTTCCAACGGAAAAGTACTCCCATGAGACACCCCGAAATCATCGCGATGGCCCAGGGCGCCTGTTCTGGGTCCCCAGGGTGCTGCCGAAACCTCTCAACTCTGGATCCCATGGCATTCCAAGACAAGATGTTCGCTCAATTTTTGAAAAGCTCAGCCTGCGCCTGAGCCACCAAGGCCCTCGCTAGGCATCTACTTCTTAAAGGCGCGGGGTAAGATGGGGCGATGCCGGTCCACTTCGCCCCTCTGGAGAAGCCCCTTCGAGATGGAGATGCGGGCAACCTGCGCGCGAACGCATTCCGCGCTCATCATGGCATGTCTTGGAACGCCCCTGCGGATCTCAGCAGGATGCGAGTGCCTGCGCAGGAAAGTTGTCATGTTTCTCCACCTGGCCCCATACTGGCCAAAGTCACAAGTAATAAGATGCACGAAGGATTTGTTGGCCAACGCCTGCAGCTCTGGCGTCCGAAACATGAAGCTGCTCTTTGGGTCGTCAAAGATGTATGGGGCTCGAGCTTTGTTACGTGCCGCGATGACCTTCAGGGCTTGTGCCAATCTTCCTCGCTCATCTCATGTCTGCAAAAAGCTCGAGGCCGATCAATGCTGCGAATCAGTGCAGAACGAATCTTGGCGATGGAGAAGGATGGGCAAACCGGGGCCTGCATGGCGCCTCGGCAACGATGTGACCTGAGATCCCCGAGCAGCCGACGGAGCACTCGAGGTCTGGTGACGTCGCCATGCTGGCCGCGGTCCTTCTTCCAGCAGCGAGACTGAAAGCCGCGCCTGCGGACGGCGCGACCAACTGGCCGCGCTCGCCGATGCCCTTCAAAGCGCGCAGCCCTCGCGCCGCGTCACTCGATGGCCCCGAGAGTCTAGGAGGATCGACGCGTTGGCCTCGTCGATCTCGCCGAGGACTGGCAACGCCACAAGTATTTCTCAACCCCAGGCTACCCGAGGAAGATTGTGCACACTGGATTAAAGCTCCTGTCGGGCAAGAGTGTCGTCCCACCGTCTACTTGTCTCGAGAAAATCAAAGCCCCATCAGGGTTTGAATGCCGAGCTTACTGATGATCTAGCCCGCCACAACGCCAAAGGTAATGACCAAGCGGACCGAGCAGCCACACGCGCGGCCGCCTAGCTTGCAAAACCCTCGACTATGCCGGCGGAAGCCTGCTGCGACGCTTCGTGTTTGATGTGGCCAGAATGCTCCAAAGATGGCCAGCTTTGGCCCCGAAAGATGGGAAGAAAGGACTGAACAAGCTTGATCAGTGCCTAACCACTCCCATAGGGGCCGCCTGGGACCCTGGGGCCGATGCCCCCCTTTTCCTCCGAGGCCTCCCTCGTCGGGTCCCTCCCCCTCGGTCTCTGGAGGGGCCCACAACTGGGCATATGTTAGCGGCTCACATCTCTGCACGGTCTCTGAAATTCCAGCCAAGAATCAAGCACGGTATTTCTAACGGCGCAACGCGGTGTGCCATGGGCATTGTGAAAGAATGGCCTCCCTCACCCAAACTGCCTACGGACATCCGCTGCTGTTTCCGAATGTCCTGCCAATTCGAATGCAATGGCCTTGCGTCGCAAATGTGGCTCCTACACAGAGACGGGGTCCTGAGGCCGCCTCTTCTCTGATTCACCGAGGGAGCCAAAGAGAAACAACGCGAGTGCTCAAATTGCCAAGGCCCTCAGACTCCAACACCCCAAACTTGGAGCTGTTGCTCAAAGTGGCTTCCAGACCACACGTTCCTCTCGAACAGTTTTACCGCAGTGGCTGACACTCTTCCATAATTGATGAGTCTGCTGTAGATGCCCCTCGAGGGCTGTGCGGATCTTGCAATCAGCTGCGTAGGGCTGCTGTCTTGGCGTGGGTGCGTCGAGGAGACCTCCGAAGCCGAGCGCTGGTCCTCCTCCCCGTCCTCCCCGTCCTCCTCTTCCCCCCCCCCCCGCCCTCCTCTCCAAACCCCTCGTCCTTGTCCATGCCCTCCTCCCCCCTCCGTCCCCTTCCTACTCGCCCGCGCCTGCCAGACCCGAGCTCGCGCACGGAGTTGTGATGCTGCTGCAGCGCCTCCGCCTGCCGTGGCGACACCTGTGGGGCGGAGGGCAAGGCTGCATGATGCTGCGAAGAGCTGGGGCGATGGGGAGGGATGGGACCGGCACGATTGTCTACCCCTGGATGACAGGTCCAAGAAAAGAAAGCATTTCAACTACAGGGGGGGCGCGCTTCGAGGGAGCCGCTCTCCCCACACATATGCCCCACGTCTCGGGAGATGCCTGGGCCGCAATGGAGGATCATCAAGGAACGCAGGACCGTGAAAGGAGTCTGGCCGACCAGCTGCAGCACGCAGCTGCGACTGGGGGATAAGAGGTGAAAGGGAGCTGGACACCAGAGAGAGACGGAGAGAGAGTGCCCTAACAGCCTCGCTCCCTCCCTTCTCACCTGGTCGCTGGGGCCCGGCGTCCGCCATGCTCTGTCCGCCCTCTGCGGGAGCCACGCAGTCGGTCCCAAGAACTGCTGTAAACGAGTGCGCGCGCGATGGCAAGCACGCGCGATCCGCAGCCGCATTTCGAATCTGGAAGTGATCGATCGAATCTCGCACAGCTCGAAGATTCGTTGGCCCCTGGGTGGCTCCGGCCACGACATCATCCCGAAAACACTGTCGTGAATGACACCGCACGCCGCAGAAGAGCCCCGGACTTCCCCCAAAGCTCCCGAGTGCTCAGAGCAACGAAGACAATGAGAGGGCAACCAGAGCACGTTCGCAATGGAGGCCAAGTCTTCACACGGAAGGTCTTGGGCCCTGGGCCCCAACACCGAAGGCCGTCCGACAGCCTTCCTCGACCCCGAGCGCGACGGCATCACCCACAACACCGTCGCGGTGAATGGCATTGCGCGCTGATGACCTCGATGCGCGGGGCTGCAGAGGTCTCGACACCATGCTCCATGTCCGTACCTTCGCGACCACCCTTCGGGTGACAAGGAGTTTGGGGGGTCGGGGGGGGAAGATGCAACTGCCGGCAAATGCGATGGGTGTGATGATGACGATGCTGGTGACGCGCCCTCGAGTTCGCTACGGCGCGTGATGACGATGATTCGCTGCGATGTAATGTCACTATCGCCCCTGCTTTCGATCTAATACGATAGATCCCACTATCGGCCTCACGGCCAGACTCAGTACCCATGGATTCAGCGATCTATTCCACTGTGCTCGCCCCAGAGGAGATCGCCTGTCCCCGCGAGATCTGCACGACCCAGGGGACGTCGCCTCCCTGCGCATCTGACAGCACAGTCAATGTCACAACCCATCTCGCCGTCGATCTCCCTTTTGACTTCACTGTCCATCTCACTCCAGCGATCTCATCTTCGATCCCACGATCGACTTCACTATCGATGCCCAAGCAAGACACCCCCCGCCACCGCCTGCGCTCCGCCGACGAACACCAACGGAACACCAACGGGACATCAACGGGACACCACAGAACACCACGGCGGGACACCCCGGGCCACCGCGCGCCCACCGGGAGCGGAGGGGCGGTCCACTGCATCCGAATCGCCCTTGCGACGGCGGGGTCAGTCCTCTCGCGCGCCCACGCAGCTTCGCCTCGCCTGCCCGCACGACACGAACACGAAACCGAAACCGATTTCCCGGTGGAGGGAGCTCCGTTACAATGCGATCCCATCCCCCAACCTCCGATGAACTTCGTGAGGTCCGAGCTGGAGAAGCCTTAGCCCCCTCCAGAACGCGCCTGCACGAACGGGTTCGTGGAAGATGCAGAGGATACCTGCACGAAGGAGACCGGCTGCCGCTGGTCCGGGGCCTGGGCACAGGTGCGGCGTGGCCGGCCGAGGGGAGGTACTTCCGCCGCCAGACCAATCCCGCCTCCTCCGTCCCTTCTCTTCTGGAAACCTGGGGACCTCTCTGGGTAGCTTGGAGAACTTCTGGAAACGAGAACCCAAATAACCGCATGCCGATGATAATAAAGGGACCCCCCCTTCAGTGTTTAGAGTTGATTATCGTCGCCATATACAAAATTCAAATTGGGCGGCGAGCGCTGAGGCCGAACTTCATTATCACCTCGAAACGCTATGTTGAGATAGCAACATCAAGCGATGTTGATATAGCAACATCAAGCGAAGCGATCACACTTTTTCAGGATGTGTCAAGCGAAACCAATAATTTTGGGAGGCAGACTCAAACGAAACGAGCAATGTTCTTATTATTATTCTACTTTCCTCTTCTTCTTTTATATTTCTATCTGTCCTCACGCTCGCCTGAACTTTTTTATCCCTGGGGTTGATTATCCATGGAAAATGAAGCACATGAGCTACCCTACATGAGCACTTTAAAAAATCAATTTTCATAAAGCGTTTGTAAATTAAACTTGATAGATTTGGAACTTTGGATTTTTCCTTTCTTCGTCCTCTTCTTATTCTCCTCTTCTTCTTCTTTCTTATTATTCTTCTACTGTATTATTCTTCTTTTATATTTCTCTCTGTCCCCACGCTCGCCTGAACTTTTTTATCTCTGGGGTTGATTATCCATGGAAATTGAGGCACATGAGCTACCCTACACGAGCACTTACAAAAAACAATTTTCATGAGAGATAAGCCATTGTTGAGGATATTTCTATGAAAACTAAACGCCAAGGATGTCTCAAAACGTGCTCGGCTTGGTCTCCTCTTGATCATCTCTTACTTCGAGATTATGCTGAGGTCTGCTGGGCTACTTTTATTATCTCTCCCTGAACCCCGAACTTTATTATCCCCTAGTGTTTATTCTCACGGGCATGAGTTTACGTAACCCGGAAACGTTCGAAAACCGATGGGGACCTTTGAAAACCATCTCATCACCGCTTCCGGAGCCCTGGCCCAGTCCAACCCCCCTCTCTCTGCCTGCCCATCCCGCTCCCACTCCCCTCCCCTCCCCATCCCTATCCCACTCTCCCTCCCCTCCCCTCTGTCCTCCATTTTGAGCTCTCAGCCGCGAGCCTGGCGCGCCCAACTGAGCGCGCGATACATCTCCCTCCATGATTTGATGCCGGGCACGTTTTGTTTTATACGGGGAAGGAGAAGGAGGAGGAGGAGGAGGACGAGGAGGAGGAGGAGTGCGGAGCGCGACCATCCCTGCTCGACTCGACGATATCGCACACAAGACGCGAGCGGAGGTAGAAGGGGAGAGGAGGAGGGGAAAGAATAGGAAGAGGAGGAGGAGGAGGAGAAGAAGGAGCATGAGGAGGTGGAGGAGGAGGAGGAGGAGGAGGAGTGGGCAGCATGGTTGCCAAATTTGCTTGGTTGCGAAATTTGCTTGCCCACGCGGGTGAAACGTCCGATTGCCAATCGTGAAAAGCAGTTATGGCCGCGAACCGCCAGCAATGAAGTCCAACAACACATGAAAGGAGCAAGGGAGACTGGGGGGGAAAGAAGAGGAGGAGGAAGGGTATGAGAAGGACAACATTTGATACGAACGAGGATGCCCTCGATTCGAATCGCGGCCAAACAGGCACGATTGCCCAAGTATGTCGCGAACGGCATATTGGAAACGAACCGCGCGCCGAGAAACTGCCGAGATAGAGACACAACATTTGCACATATAAACACCGGAAACGCATGTGGCTACTAGCTGGCCTGACAAGGGTCCCTTGACAACTAATCACTCTAATCACTTGTTGATGTCATGCGCGCGCTCAAACCGTCAAGGAAGATGTGCGCCACGTGCGTCAAAGAAACTCTGCCGCCGTGAAACGACCGCCACCGCTGACGCAGACGCCAGCACCGCCGGCAGACCACGGTGGCGGCGGCGGCGGTCGAGACGAGTTCGGTGTTGCGGCGGCGATACCCAGCGAGTGCAGGCGTCGCGCCCAGAAACCGAGGGTGGATCCATCACGGGGGCATGGTGGGCTTAGCGCCGCCGCGGCAGCAGCTTCCCGCGCACCAGAGGCTGGGCCCGCCGCCGCGGAAGCGCGTCTGCAGCAGCCACACGTTGACAGAGGGGCTGGCGATGGTGGACAACGTGCTCGGGGTGCCAGTGCTCCACGGCGGTGCTGCGAGCGCGGGAGCCACTGCTGTGGCCACTCCTGAGCCAGGCGGGCCCCTCGCTGTCCATCGGCGGCCTCCCTCTCAGAAGTCGTCCTAGACCGTGGGCGGAGCGCCGCGGCTTCGGCGCGCGAAGTGCAGCGAGAGGCGGCCGAGCTGCAAGCCGCTCTCCACCACCAGGTCCAGCAGCTCGTGCACTGGCTCAGCGACCTCAAGCAGGTCCAGCATCATGGCCGCCAGGAGCCTGCAGAGCAGCTGGATGAGCAGCTGCTGCGAAAACAATGCGCGCTCAGGGTAACTTCGACGCGCGACGACACCCGTCGCAGCCAGATTGAGAAGATGTTGGGCCAGCTCGAAGTCCTTACGGGCGAGCTGAGGACCAGCGTCGGCACGCCGTCCAAGCTGGGCGGCAAGCAGGAGCTGCATGCCGAGCTGCGAGGGCGGTCTGAGATGGCCACGGAGGTGTGCCGAACATGCGGCGCTGCAGTTGCATCATTCGTTGACGCCGCGCTCGGCCGAGATCGATGTTCAGTAGCTCAGCGTGGACCTCCAGTCCTAGCTCTCTCGCACCGGGACCAACCTCGGCGACGTCTTCGGCGGAACTCACTGACGGCGCAGCGTGGTCCCAGATGTCCGCGGCGGGGCCGACAGGGCTCGACGGGCCCATTCGCATACGGGAACGATGGCGTCGAGGTCGGGGGAGCCGAGGACGAGGAGGCAAAGTGCGGCCGCCAGCCGACTCCCGTGCCGACACCAACACTCCGACAGCTGCGGACCGGCGCCGCACTGGCCGCGCAGGCCTGCCAGGCGCCGAGCGTCGGGGGCTAAGAGCAGCCTCCTCCTCCTCCTCCCTCCCTCCTCCTCCTCCCTCCCTCCTCCTCCTCCTCCTCCTCCTCCTCCTCCTCCTCCTCCTCCTCCTCCTCCTCCTCCTCCTCCTCCTCCTCCTCCTCCTCCTCCTCCTCCTCCTCCTCCTCCTCCCCTCCTCCTCCTCCTCCTCCTCCTCCTCCTCCTCCTCCTCCTCCTTCCTCCTCCTCCTCCTCCTCCTCCTCCTCCTCCTCCTCCTCCTCCTCCTCCTCCTCCTCCTCCTCCTCCTCCTCCCCTCCTCCTCCCCTCCTCCTTCCTCCTCCTCCCTCCTCTTCCTCCTCCTCCTCCTCCTCCTCCTCCTCCTCCTCCTCCTCGCCCCCTCCTCCCAACCAGCCCGACGGAGACGTGCGAGGACGGCGAGGACGGCGAGAACGTGCGAGGACGGCGAGGCCGAAAACGAGGTGGACGAGGAGCCACAGGAGCAGCTCGAGGCGGAGGCACCGCGCCGTATTCGCCAGCTGTCTCCCGGCTCGGTGCAGGCCAAGCGGGACAGTCACACGGCGCCCAGCGGCCATCCGAGGGATCGCAAGACATTGCCATCTTCGTTCATCGACACATCCGCCCACAGGCATACAAGTTCAACCACTGGCAAGCGCCCAAGCATGGAGGGTGTCCGACTTGGACCCGCCGCCATCGGCGCTGCCTCCCCTCCCCCCTCTCGCCCTTGCCTCTCCCGCTTCCCTGGGCCTGTCTCTCTCTCTCCCTTGCTGCATCCCCCCTGCTCAGCCAACGTGCTGTTCGACCTCCGAGCGAGCCGTGAAGAAGCTGGACAGACCACCTGTCATTGATCCCTCTGCTTCAGCCAACGCGCCTTTCAGATGCACACCTTCTGACATGACCGACCTTCCCCCACCAACCCCCTCCCCCACCCGCCCGCTCCCATGGTTGTCACAACGCTGCCTTCGATCGCGGACCCACCGCAACGTACAACCGAACTGACCAAACCGAAACGCAGAGGAACGAAGCCGCGCCGTGATCGAACCGATCGCTGCCACGCGACACCACACACGGGCCCGTTGGCGAAAAATCGTGGGGACTGCAGCCGTGGATATATAAATCGAGACCTCCTCCACTGTTCCTTCCCTGCTGCCAGACCTGGCGGAATCCTGCTCTGCAGAGGCCTGCTTCCCGGGGCCCTTTAACCACCGCAAGCGTCATCGATGCGGACTCGTCGAACCGTGGGCGCCCCCTCCCCCTCCCCTCCCGAACCGGAAAGATTCGAGATCCGTGGGGCGCGCGGGCTGAAAAACAGAATCCGTCGGGCGTCTGGGCCCGGAGGAGGAGGAGGAGGAGGAGGAGGAGGACGAGGAGGAGGAGGACGAGGAGGAGGAGGAGGAGGAGGACGAGGCGGACGAGGAGGAGGAGGCCAGCGGTCTTGCCGCTCCGCGGGCGCCGCCCTCCCCTCCGACCCGCAATCGGCGCGGGCCTGCGCGCCGGCGCGCCAGCTCGCCTCCTCCTCGAGCATGGCGGCCAGCCCGGCGTGGTCGTAGCGGTGCAGGCGCGTCACGTGGAGCGGCGGGTGGCCTGCGCACGGGGCACTCTTTTTTTTCCCGAGCGTCCCAACCTGCGCGGCGGGAAGTGGCGATCAAACTACCCCAATCCGGAACCAGAAAGTGAAGCAAGAAGGATGCAGCTGGGAGACTGCGCGCGGGGCACTCCCTGAACGCGCCCCGCAGCCCAGGCTGTCACCCGCACGAGCGAGGCGGAAGCCCGGGACGTGGCTCGCGTTGCCACACCGTGCCTGGCCTGGCCACGTCTTGCCTCACCCAGGCGGTTCCCCCCCCCCTTTGCCCCGCCTCCTCGGCCTCGCCCTCCCTTGACCGACCTCCTCCCCCGCTCACCCCATTCCCACTTTCCATTCCAACCCCCAGCCCAAAGTGCGACGCAGCCAATGGCATGTATAAAGTGGCATCCCCCTGCCCTTCCCCCTTCCCCTTCCCCTTCCCCTTCCCCTTCCCCATCCTCCTCCTCCTCCTCCTCCTCCTCCTCCTTCTCCTCCTCCTCTCGGTCCCCCCTCCTCCTCCTCCTCCTCCTCCTCCTCCTGCTTCTCATCCTGCTCCTCCTCCTCGTCATCTCCGTAGCAAGTTTGGCTCAAGCCCCGAGCAAGGATGCTCAGAGAGTTGGGGGTGGCAAGGGGGAGGCGCGCTCTCCTCCAATGATCCCTGCGCCCGCGCCCAAGACTTCTTCTAGTTATACGTATTAGCAATACTATGACATGTCTGCGTAGTTTCCCTATTCTTATGAGTGTCGTGCTTCTTGTTCGTAGCATGTGTAACCCTGTGCGGGCGATAACAGTACCCCTGGAATAATAAAGTCCTGGCGGAGATTCTAACATATTCCCCCGGGGATGAGGATATTGATGATGATGATGATGCCGATGACGATGATGATGGTGATCCTGGGCGCTCGGCACAAAGTTGACTCGAGAGATCTCGAGGCTCGCGGCTATACAACTTGCCAGCAGGCTCTCGGCACAAGGCTGACTCGAGAGATCTCGAGGCTCGTGGCTATACAACTTGCCAGCAAGCGCTCGGCACAAGGCTGACTCGAGAGATCTCGAGGCTCGTGGCTATACAACTTGCCAGCAGGCGCGCGGCACAAGGCTGACTCGAGAGATCTTGAGGCTCGTGGCTATACAACATGCCAGCAGGCGGTCGGCACAAGGATGATTCGATAGACCTCGACGCTCGTGCCTATAGTTTGCCAGCGCAAGACAGGTCCTTGGCCAATCTGGCCACGATGATATCAACTTCGATTCGCAACTTTCCCCGTGGACTAGAAAGTTCGCCTTTCGCGCCCCTCCCCACAATTAAATCCTGTTGGACGGGGATAATCAACATAGAGGGGGTGAAGGGGGGGTATGTTTTATTATCGCCCGCACGCGGTTATTATTATGCATCTTCTCACATACGGCTCTACGCAGAGAGTCCCAGATAACGTACGTTTGGTAAACCCCTGTCGAAGCTCATGGGTAAGGATGCCAAAGCCTATCTCACCTGTTCAGCGTGCAGGTACAGATGGATGTGGAACACGCTAACCTTCTGCTTCAGCTGCAATTCAACCTTTTGTGCAGCAGGAAGTGTCATGGAGGTCCCCAGTTCAAGGCTTTTGGGCTGATGGGGAAGCAGGCGGTGGTGGGCAGCTTCAAAATTACCAACTAGCAGTGGGGTGAGGCGCAAGGGCGAGTGGACCAGCCGAAAACATCCACTCCACTACCGAGGGCGTCAGCGCCCCAGCAAGCTGCCGGCATCTCGGACCTGCTCAAGGGGAGGCTGGGGAATCAGGGCGCAGCTGAACTCTAAGGCTTTGCAGCGTAGGGTCTGCCAGGAATCCCCGGCCCCGTCGCCGCAGAAACGGCTGCTCGAGGCCACCGTCTCCGCCACAATCGAGTGGTCCGCCGCAGGGCGCGCGCGCGCTTGGAGGCGCGCGTCGCCGAGCAAGGCGCAGCAGCTCATTGGCCGTCGCACTGCAAGCCGGCGGCGGCAACCCTCGTGGCACAGGAAGACGAGCTCCCGCGGGAGCTCCGCCGTGCCACGGGCACGCAGAGGGCTCGCGCGCTCCATGACTTCCCGAGGCGTCGGCCACTGGGAATGGTGGCTCGTGGATCAACCGATGGCAGCTTTCAAACGTTCCGATCACCACCCGCCCCCCCCAGGGCAGCGCCGCCCCGATGTGACATGCATGGTACAACGTTCCTTCAATAAGGCCCCTCGCAGGTTTCTTCGCGAGCCGTCAGATATGAACGGGGCGCAAGTGGCAGGCTGCTGGGGGGCTTCCTCTCCCGCGCGCCTGCGCGCCCTAGTTTGTCTGCGCAGGACGGCACCGGCGTGTCCGACGGTTTGACCTAATAACGATGTCGATGATATCTCCGTCCGCGCTGTAGGCAGAGGCGAGGTGGTAAGCAGGGAGATGGCCAACGCGTTCAATCAGGTCTCAGACGCCCTGGCCAAGAAAGGTCTCCCGATTGGCTGGAACCAGCTAGGCCTGACGTCGTCTCCCCGCCTGCTGGCAGGCAGGATGTTGTCAGCCTGTGGGCTGCCAGAACAAGTTTGCTGCAGGGCCCGCGGGGGCACCGGAGGGGGCGCCATCGACGGGGCGCGCAGAGTGCCAATTCACCAGGACAGGCTTCTCGAGGCCCTGCGAAAGGTTTCCAGGGTCCTGGCTTTCAGGGATGCGGGGGCCCAAGTGGGCATTGTTTGTTTTTCTGGAGTCTCGGCCAAGGCCCTCCGGGGGACACCTCGCTAGACCTGGACTTCATGCGATCCAGAGGCGGGTGGGCCAAGGATCCCCTGGAGTTGGTCACGGCAGGTTCGATAAAACAGGCGTCCAGATGTTGCGGGACGAGCGCTTGTCTGACCCTGCCCTCTAGCTGCTGCTTGCCAAGGGGCAAGAAGTGACGAACAAGCAGAGGCCGCGGGCCACTGTCAAGGACCCTGTCAAGGACTCGACCTGGAGAGTGGTCGTCAGGCCCCGTGATCCACGGGAGGCGGCTGAGGCGTCGGGGGAGGCGTGGGACTGCCAGATGCATCGCCGGCTTGTTTGGCTCGTCGCGCCAGGATTGCGGCCAGTCGGCTGGCCGACGTCAATGGCTCGGCTGGGGCTGGCACAACGAAGCAGTGGCGTCGAGACATGTTCTGGCGCCCGCTCAATGAGTTGATCAACCGCAAAGTGAGCCCAGAAAGCGACGAGGAGACCTCAATAGTCTCTAGAAGGGCCTGGGGGCCAAGGGAGCAGATGACCCTCAGAGGACCGGTAGAGGTCTAGTCATAGGCTCTCATTGGTGCTAGTATAGCTCATTCAGCATTACCCCCAATTGCCAGAGAATTGCTTGCGTTGCGGGACCAGGGAAACCCGCTTCCACATGCACTTCCAGTGCTGTTCGAGAAGCGTGGGCGAGGGACAGCATTCCCGAGGAGATCAGGCCCCTGATCCAGCTTTCAAGGTTTTCGACTGAATCGAAAGAAAAGCTCGCGCGTGGCATCGTGCCTGACACTTGCCAGCTGCTGGCCGGAAAGCCTTGGGATCCGACTCCGACTATTGAGTTCAGGATCGAACGATGAGTATCGTCCACCATGCTCCAGGAAGGCCATGTTTTTTGTTTGGTGACGGGTCAGGTGTGGACGGTTTTTTCCCCTCACTCAGAACGGCTGGATGGGGGGTGGCCGTCTTCGAGCGTCAGAGGCGTAAGAAAGCAGAGTGGTTCGGTTCAGTACCGACCATAAGTTGCCCAGATCAGGTTGCTAAAGATGGTGAAGGTGATCGTGTTCTTATTCATGGCGTCTAAAATTCAGTGGAGGCAGCGTCACGCTGTCTCTTGACTGTCGAGGCACCTTGCACTGATGGCAGGGCCGCATACATTTGGTCAAGTTAGCTAATGTTGGCGTTCACCTTTGGAGCAGGATTTCTGTTCGGAGGGAGACCTTCCGGATGTCGCTGTCAAGGAGGTCCGAGGGAACTCCACTCAAGTCGACGTCCGCCAAAGGCGCATTTCACAGACTTTGAGAGGCAGGGCAACCATGAAGCGGATAGGCTCACATAGCAGGGAGCTGCTCTCAGTAGGCACGACGAGGCTGACATCTTGTTGACAAGAGATATGTTGTTCGCTGCCCGCTTGGTGTTGAATTGCATTGCCAGGGCTGAAGCTTTTTTATCCCGAAGACGGACGCCTTGACAATGCTGGAGCTCAGGGGCTTACCTTGATTTCCCTGACGAGTGGTGGCGTCGGGGCGGCCATGACGAGCCCAGGAGGGAGGAGGCCGAGGAGGAGGAGGAGCGGGCTGCTGCTGCTGCTGCAGCTGCTCCGCATGCGGCCCCTCCCGAGAACCCCCGCGGCTGATCCACCTTCTGCGGGCCTCAGCCCGGACCCGGCGGGCCTTTTTCCGAGCTAGGGTAGAGACGCTTTGGAGGCAGGGGCCGCCTCCTGCTCGAGCTTCCCCCGTTCTGCTGGAGGGAGCGCCGTCCCTTCTTGCTTGCTCGACTTGTGGAGGGTACGCGACAGTAGCTATGGCACTGGACAGAAGAATTGGGCGCCCGTTTGCCGCCTGCAGCATCCCAACCGTCCGTTGGAGCTAGGCCCAGCTAGGCCCTTGGCAGTCGCCTGGGGAGCAGGCCAGGACCTTGCTTTAGGGGACCTCTTTGAGGTTGGCGGGCCTGCCTGCGGCAGCCAGGGCCCAGAGGGCACCCGTCAGAGTTAAACCTCTGCCTGGGAGACTGCTGCCTGCAGAGTTTGGCGTTGAGTGTGGAGGAAGAGGCTGGGAGCCTTGGCTCCAAGCTCCGAGTGGAAGACCCACGAGCTCGGAGGCGACGAAGGCGGTGAGCGTTTTCTCGTGGGGGTGGGCCTGTCGCGGGCCCACAGCGCGGCCCGTCGAAGCCACGCCGTGGTTCAGCAAGGTCCTCTCCGATGGGCCCCCCCTCAGGGTTTGTGGCCGACCACATGAGCGTCTCTTCCCTTTTCTCCCTCACTGGCGTGCGATCCTCCTCGTCATCGACCTCGCCTTCCTTCCCCCGCTCCTCCATGCTGGTGCCCTTGGAGCCGCCAGCTGCTGCCTGGACCCAACACCCCAACACAGCCCACTCCCCTAAATTCCTCCTCGCTCATCCTTCGCCCCATTCCAATCCTTCTCCCCCTCCTACAGCTGCTCCTCGGCGTCTTCTCCTTCTCTTCCTCCTCCTCCTTATTGATAATATCTCCAGCCTCCGTCTCCTATTCCTCCCTTTTCCCGTTTCGAAAGTCCTCCGTGGGATTCCTATTACCTGTCAAGAGAACGCACGCTGCCGAACGCAACGCCTTGTCCCCCACCCCTTCTGGCAGGGCATGGACCAGGCAGGGAGGAAGGGAGGATCACTCTCACACGCTCACTCTTCCTCCTCTTCCCTCCCTTCCTTCATCGTCTCCGACCCTTCCCAATCCTCCTTTCCGAGCCTGGGTGGTACCGCGCCGCTGGCAATGGAACGTCCCTCCAAGAGGGCCGGGAGCCACCCGCCACCCAGGCCAGGGACGCCGCGGAGACGAGCGAGCGCATCCTCGGCAAGGGAGGGCAAGGGAAGGGAAGGGGGATCGTGACGACGAGACGGATGGAGGGAGGCGAACGGAAGGGGGGGGGAGACGGGTAGCCCTCCTCCCCCCTGGCATCGAATGTTCAATGTTAGAAGGATGTGGACATATATAGAGTCACCAGCGGACCGCATGTCACGGACGCCATCCTGGAATGCACCAGTGGCGGAGCTGCTAGCCTCACGCCTGCACCATGATGTGAAACCGCTCGTGCGCAACTTTGCAAGCAAGGAGGCCAAGGCGAAGGACTAGCGGGGAGACGGGAGGCCATTGGGAGCACGGGGAGGAGGAACTCCAAAAGGAAGAAACGGAATCTCACGAACGGCCCACAGATCCGTACCCGCGCCCTCGCGGTCTGCATTGAGGGACGCGATCCCGCGGATACGCGGTCGCACGGAGACGTTCCGCGCGGGGCCTCCGCGAAACGACGCCCCGTATCCGCGGGGTCGCGGCCCAGGTGTCCGGCCCGCGAGGCCGCGGATACGGATATGTTTCCCCCCATGAGAACCTGGAAAACACCAAATTATGGACGGCGCTCATCACCTCGCCTGTCGGGAAGCTGTTGGTTGGAATTTAAACAGAGGGGGAAGAGGAGCAGGAGAGAGGGGGGGGGGAGAGAAGGGAGAAAGTAGGAGGAAGAGGAAGGCGTCCATTGATTATGGGGGTGTGCAGGCGCTCTAGGGGCTGGTTTGGGATCCATCATTTCTTCGACGTCTTCTCATCCTGCGTAGCGTCGATGGATCCCGTGGCGTCATAGGGATCCTCCTGTTTCACACCCCACGATTGGCACTTGCATGAAAACCTACACAAGCGTTCTGTCCACTGCACTTGACATGCCCTTTCGATTCCAGGGGCCCCCTGAAGACACTGGAAATCCAAAGGCACCACTTAGGATGCCAAATGATACTGAGCCTCTCTAACGATATGCGGGAACACTCACGGGGGGGCAGCTCCCGAAAACTCGTCTTGCTCTTCCAAAGGCAGGATACGACCGAGGCGACAGCGCTTCGCGGAGACGCGGCGCAGAACAAAGAGGAGGCGGAGGAGGAGGAGGACGAGGAGGAGGCGGAGAATTCGGGAGAACTCGGCGACGACGAAGTGGAGAAATGCCTGGTAACAAGCGCCTGGGTGGGGGGAGGGCACTCTGGCACTTAGTGGAGCATATCTCTCCCCTTGGACAGGCAATAATTCACCCACTTACCGTCTTTGGTCGGGGATGAACATTCATCAAAATGGCCTTTCACACCACCATATGGAGCAAGAGTCAGCGTATTTCATGGTGTGGGAAGGGTCTATGGACCTACTACCTGCGTGTATAATGCTCCTACCCCTACAAGTCTCAGCTATGGGGTTCGGCGGGCTGTACTGCTCAAGCTCAAACTCGCTTGCTAGCTCAGCTATCAGGAGGAAAAGGAGGACGAGGAGGAGGAGGAGGAGGAGGCGGAAGCAAACGAACGAGAACTGCCGTGGTCTCCCTGAAGCCCGTCACGGCATTCTCCCCTGGTCCACGTGCCTGCCGCGCAGGAGGTTGGCGGCGGCGTGACGCGTCACGCCGCGGGAGCCAGGGAAGGGAGAGAGGGAGGGGAAGTGGGGGGGAGCAGATCATGGCACCGTGGCAAGGGGGAAGATGGAGGCATCATGGGAGGAGAGAACAGGGAAACCGCGCGAAGCGTGGCCATCCTCGCGCTCACTCGGCCCGCCTGCCTATTCCCGCCCCTCTGCCTCGACCGTCCGCCGAACAAAGGGGTTCCCTCCGAAAGTTGTAGCAAGAGGCGAGCGGGTGGAAGTTAACTTTTGCACAGCGGAAGGCGGCTCCTTGATATGAAAATAGACTCTCGCAGACAACTGGATAACGCGTGCGAGGCAAAATTGCTCGCACTGGAACGGCTGCGAAGGCGGCGCTTGGGGGGATACAACCTGAAACGATGGAACAAAGGAGCACTGACGTGGAAGAGAAACGCGTAGGCGGCATGCAGGGGTCATGCAGGGGTCCGGCATACAGGGGCCCACAGCGCGATCGATGCGGCAGTGACGACAGCAAAGCAAGGACGGGGGCGACGACCTAGAACAACATGTTGTGAAACGGACGAGACATATGCGCAATGCAATCGGAGACTTCATGAACCCTGCCCTGCCCCACCGTCGTACACTACAACTGGTAATCCTCACCTCCACCTTCCCCGACACCCCTCTGGAATAGGGGAGAGGCAGCGCTGGGAAGGTATCTCTCATGGAGACGTGGGAGAGCTCGCCATGAAACACTTGCCGTGATTAAGTCGCAGATCACCACGGCGATGACAACCCGACAAATAAGCACCGCGATGCGGGGGGGGGCGGTCGAGCGTCAGGGAGCGAGGACCGCGGGTCGAGGGTGGACAAGCGCGGGTCGACGAGGGGGATCGAGGGTCAGGGATCGAGGAAGGAGATCGATGATCGAGAAAGCGGAAACAAACTGGGAGATTCGGGTAGATTGATGGTTCTCTCGGGTTCGCCCTTGGCCTCAGGATGGTGTCCCCGACTCGCCCCCCCCCACAACGGCATCACATCAACTCGGGAGGACCGCAAAGACCGACGGAATCCCCGCAAAATCTCAAAAGCGAACTCTCCAAAGAACCACGTGATGACCCGTAAGCTTCCGCCGACTGTCGTCCTCCTTGTCTTCCAGATCCTCCCTGTCCTCCTGCTATTCCCTGTTATCCTGAGCCTCCTCCGCTTCCTCATTGTCCTCTATTTGAATATAGTAGTACTCCTCGTTCTCCTTCTTTTCCATCTTTTCCTCCTCCTCTTCCTCCTTCACCTCCTCCTCCCCCTCCTCCTCGTTCGCCTCCTGTATCTCCTCTCTGCCTCGTTCTTCGCCTCCACTCTCCTCCACTCTCCTACACTCTCCTCCACTCTCCTTCCCCTCCTCGTGTCCCTCCTCTTCCTGCCTCCGTCCTCCGCGCCCATCTCCAAGTCCTGCTCCCCCCATCCTTCTGCTCCTTATGTTTCAATAGTTTCTCCTTCCTCCTCCGCCTCGCCATTTCCCTTTTCATTATCTTCACCTCCTTGCCGCTGTATCATCCCTGTCCCCCTCCTCACCACCACCCTCCTTATCGTCGTCGTCGCCATCGTGACCCTAGCCAAAATCATCCTGGACATTTGCACCCACGCCCCCCGCATCATCAACTCATCATGGTCGTCATAGTCAGCCACACACATGCACATGTATCTTTACTATGGAGACAAATGGAGAAGATACAGAGAGAAAGAGAAAGAGAGAGAGAGAGAGACAAAAAAACAGAAAGAACAAACATCGAGACACAGAGAGAAAGAGAGAGAGAGAGAGCGATATAAAAACATGACGCGATGCAAGGGGGAGAGGGAGAAAAAGAGAGATGATACCGAACCCCCTTTCCTCCCCCCCTCAAAAAAAGAAGGAACAAAAAAAACGAGCTAATATATATATATATATATATGAAAAATATCGGAGTTTGGGGGGTGAGATCGAAGTGGATCGGAGAGCCCTCCACTGGGAAATCGGTTTCGGCTTCGTGTTCGTGCGTGCCGTGCGTGCGGGCGACGCGAAGCTGCGTGGGCGGGCGAAAGGAAAGTCTCCTGTGGCTGAGGCGCGGCCGGACGGACCAAATGATTCCCCCCCCGGCAAACGGGGCCGCGCGGTGTCCCGTCGGTGTCCCGCTGGTGTCCCGGTAAGTCTCCTGTGGCTGAGGCGCGGCCCGACCAAATGTTTCCCGACCGGCAAACGGGGCCGCGCGGTGTCCCGCCGGTGTCCCGCTGGTGTCCCGGTGTCCCGCTGGTTCGAAAACGATAGTGAGACCGATAGTGAGATCGATTGTCAGATCGATTGTGAAATCGATAGTGAGATCGATAGTGAGATCGATCGAGTGAGATCGATGGTGAGATCGATTGTGGGATCGACAGTGAGAGCGATTGTGGGATCTGTGGTGATATCGATTGAGTAAGATCGACAGGGAGATCGATCGAGTGAGATCGATAGAGAGATCGATAGAGAGATCGGTAGTGAGATCGATGGAGTGATATCGATAGAGTGATATCGATAGTGAGATCGATGGCGTGATATCGATAGTGAGATCGATAGTGAAAAAACGAGATCGAGAGTGAGATCGACAGTGAAATCGATCGAGTGAGACCGATCGTGAGATCGATCGAGTGAGATCGATAGTAAGGTCGCTAGTGAGATCGATCGTGGGATCGATAGTGAGACCGACAGAGAGATGCAAATCGAAATCAGATCGAAATGCAGATCGAAAAGCAAATCGTCATGCACATCGATTAGCAAATGCAAATGCAAATCGTCAGGCACATCGACATCCCGTGCTTATGCTATGCCACGAGCGAGCGGCAGCGCAACAATCTCTGAACACCAAAGCTCCCAGTACGAACGTTGGCGGAACAGGCTCTTAAGGGTCGCTCCAAGAAGCTCCCGGGAGGCCCCAAGAGGCCTCCAAGAAGCCTAAAAAGGCTCCCAAGAGGCCCCCAAGAAGCTCCGCAAGAGGCCCTAAAGGGCCCCCCAAGAGGTTCAAAAGACGAGCCCAAACGGCCCCCCAAGCCCTTGCAAAATAAACAAAAGAATGTATCATTTCATTAGTTCCCGGAGGGGGGGGACTGGTACCACAGCGCCCAAGAGCGAAGGGTGACGTAAACAACTCGACACCAAGGCTCCCAAGAGCAAGCGGAAACGCAACAATCTCCACTGACATCGTCAGAACAACAATCACCACTGTTGCCCATTGCTGGCCCCCTCCCCTCCAAACCTCCTTATCACCCGCAGGGTGGTCGTATAGGTACATAAATATAAATAAAATAGAGAGGGCAAGACAGAGAGAGAGAGAGAGAAAACGAAGATTGTAGAGATGTGTTGCCAACGTCGACCCCCAAAATGGACAATGTCACTCTGGGTGCTCACTCTAAGAAAAGGCAACATCTATGGAACACAATATCCGCCGATCCGGCGTGTGAGTTTAAGAAAGCTACAACCTGAGCTTCAGCTCTGCTGGGGGGTGGCCGGGGTGGCTCTGCCGGGGTAGGGGGGGGAGGGGGCGGGGGGGTTCATCGGGTCCACCCTTTCTACCCCCGCTCCCCCTCCGGGAATCCCAAACCGCCCCAAGACGGGCCAAAAGAGGCCCAGGAGGCCACCAAGACGGTCCAGGAGGCGCCCGAAACAGCCCAATAGCGCTCCTGGGGTAGGGGGGGGAGGGGGGGGGGGTTCATGGGGTCCACGCGTTCTTCCCCCCCCCCCCCCGGGAATCCCAAACCGCCCCAAGATGGGCCAAAAGGGGCCCAGGAGGCCACCAAGACGGTCCAGGAGGCGCCCGAAACTGCCCAAGAGCGCTCCTGGACGCCCAAGATGGCCCGAAGACGGCCCAAGAGGCCTCCAAGACGGCTGAAGGAGATCCCAAGAGGACCCCCAAGAGGGCCCCAAGAGGGTACAATAATAAAGTTGCTAATAGGTTTTGACGCATTTTAACATTATCGCCTTCTCCGTCTCAGGATCGCCGAAGACGGTCCAAGAGGCCCCCAAGATCGCCCCAAGACAGCCCAAGAGGCCCCCAAGGGGAGCCAAGACGGTCCAAGAGGGCCCCAATATAGCCCTGGAGGCCCACCAAGACGACCCCGAGAGGCCCCCAAGATGGCCTCAAGAGGGTGAATCCGAACGGACCCTTCTAGTCCTCCACCCCAAGATGACCCCAAGAGCCCCCAAGATGCCCCCGAGGCGCCCCCAAGGGGCCCCCAGAAGCCCCCGAGAGGTCCCCAAGAGGCCCCCAAGAGGACCCCGAGAGGTCCTCAAGAGGCCCCCAAGAGGACCCCGAGAGGCCCCCAAGAGGCCCCAAAGGCCCCCCAAAAGCCCCAAGAACCAAGAGGCCCCAAGACGCGCTCACTCGCGTGCTGCCAGGCCAGAGGTGCACGGCCTCACTTGGTATTGCTCGGAAGCGACAGCGATGAAAGAAGAACCTTCCACCCGTCGCCGTCACCAGTCGTCGGTCGTCGGCAGCCGTTCGCCGTCAGTCGTCGTCGTCGTCGTCGACGTCGTCGTCGGTTCGTCGTCATTAACTCCTTCGTCGGTCGTCGTCGTAATTATCCCGCTCGTCGACCGTTTGGTCGTCCGTTAACGTCGTCATCGTCCATTTCAACAACACTAGCATCAGGAGCGCCCCGGATCGGCGGCACTGGCCGGAGGCCACTACAATACGTAGTACCGCACGAGTGCAGAAATACACGAGATGAAGTTTACGTTGTGCCATATCTGTGCGCGCTGTGGAGTGCAACGTGCGTGGTGCAATTCAAAAAAACTACAATCTACGCGTTGCCATCCACAATCAATGGGATAGCTGGCGAGTGCGAGCTTTGACCAAATGGCTTTGTTTGCGTCGGTTGAGGCACATGTTCACGCGCCCGTGCTCGGTATCAATGGCAGAACTGGAACGCACGGCACAGGCTGCTAGAACACTCGCGTTCCGCAGCAACGCGGCGCTGGCACTAGATCTGGTTTTGATTAAACTAAATGAAAGCGTCCTGTACTAGGCAGGCCGCAATTCGAACAATCAGCTCGAATCGGGGGAAGCGCCGCCTGAGGTACGGGGCGAGCTCATCAGGAGCCGCGGGAAAACATGGTGGACATTAGAGCCCGGCACGGGTCCCCGCGCAGACCTTTGAGAATGCTGGGAGGGCTCACAATGAAAAAAAAACACCGCGCGTCTCACAGGACAGGACACCCATCAACGCAGCAAGACGGTGGGAATCACGACGCTGGTTTGTCAGTGGGTTGTCAAGCGCATCGCCGCACAGGGTACTCGGGCCCAGCTCGTCCAGAGGAGGCTCAGGATCACCATGGAACCACCTGGGCCTGGGGGGCAGGACAGCCGCCCTCCGCTCGACGACGCGCCTGGGCTTGCAAGGGG